CGGGCACCATAAATCAGAGCGATGATTCAGCTTGGTCATGAATAAAACTGCAAGGCTTCAGCTCCATGAAGCTCTCTCCTGTAGAACTTGTCATCAAAGATTAATTAGAGAGGTCCACATGACTCCAGCGGTCTCTCATGGACACTCACAGTGCTGAGATACAGTAATTTAACCTGGAATATAGTGGGCAAATTATTCCATGTAAATACAAAATGGACATACACTAAAATAGCAACAGCTATGACGCTACAATGTTCTGTGATAAAATGACCCGATTTGCTGCTCAAGAAATATTTCTTGTTATTACCAATGTTGAAAAATGTTGTGCTGCTTAATATTTTTTTGTGGAAAACATGATATAGACAGGATTTCTCATGATTCTCGTATGAATAGAAAGTTCAAAAGAGCAGCATTTATTTGAAATTTGAAGATTATTACAAAAAATTGTCACTTTAGATCAATTTACAGCATCCTTGCTGAAGATAAGTATTCATTTCTTTTCAAGTAATCTTGGGTTCAAAGTAACACAGACTGACCATGGTGCCCCTCAAAAATAATAAAAAAATAATGCCCCTGCAAACCTGAATGCATTATTAAACTATGAGCAATAGCAAAAATAGCATAACTCCAGATAAAAATGCACACATGCATTTTCTACAGTGTTTAAATCTGCATGCACCATAAAATAAGTCTTCATGGCGAAAAAGAAGTGAATTAGACGTAGAAGACAACAAGTCAAGAGATCTTCAGCAGTCCAGTGTGTGTATGCGCATTTCAAACACACAAAACCATCTTTTTACTCAGTAAAGGCCTGGAATAATCTCTTTTTGAAACATGTATCTGTGCAATATGCCCTCTCTAAGACGCTGTCAGGCTTTCTGAATTAAGCACAACAAAGTGGAGCAGGAAGCAGCCGGAGAGTCGGACTCGGCTTTGAGAAACAGGCCAGGGATTTCAAACGCCTGCACGCGCACGCCACCTAAAAGCTCTTCCTGAAAAATTGATACGCTCTATGATTCACATCTCGTGAGGTGGTGTTCAGAGCTGCACATCTCAGCCAGACCCAATTTCCTGTAGTCAGTGAAAGTGTGCCACTGTATTGAGCGTGACACTGAGCAGACGGTTCCAAATAAAGCACCAAATAAAACAGCACACCGGACCTCAAAACCAACATCCATTTCTCACATGTTTAGTTGGAATTCTCATTTGTCTCCAAACGGAAGAAAATCTGTCTGGTCTGTTTTGTCTCTTTTAGATATCATGAGCAACGTACTGTATTGTAATGTAAATTATATGTCATATTACATAAAAAATGATAGATGCAAACAAGATAAGAATAAAATGTCCACAATATGCAATATATATATACAGTGGGTACGGAAAGTATTCAGACCCCCTTAAATTTTTCACTCTTTGTTATATATATATATATATATATATATATATATATATATATATAAAACTGGAAAAAAGTTGAAGTACTAAAATGACTAAAACTAAAATTAAAATAAAAGCATAAAAGCTAAATAATAAAAGTTGAAATATAATATAATTGCACATGCAGCATCTCAAATGCTTGTCTTGAGCAACATTATTATTAGCCGCGTTTCTACTGTGGGCGTGCTAGTGCGTGCCAGGGACAGTCGCGTTTCCACTGTCACTTCCGAGGCTTGATCGTGCCTCGTCGGTGCTTCCTCGGGGCCAAAGGCCCGGGTTTTTTTGGCCCGACGAAAACCTTGGGGTAAAAAGGGCCAGCTGGGGCAAGAGGAGTGGTTATGAACAAAGGCGGAGTTTCTCCGCGTCTGGAGAGCCTCAGCACCGCGGATCATTTCATCAAGTTAACAGCTATAACACCAGCATTAACGACTTTAAAAATAATTTTAGTTCAAAACTCACTTTCAGACAGCAGCGAGTGTTTGAAATAACTTGATCCGATGTGGATTATGATCACCATACAAGGCAGAAATATTTATAAGTGATGCAAAAGACTATGCACGCTAGCCATTAACGTTACCATAGTAAACATGGTAAATACGACGCTTGAAGAAATCGGACGTCAGCTTCTTATTCTCTATCACAATCGTGTATTTATTTAGTAACATATTTTATCTGTCATAAGTCTCGTCTCAAGAGTTTAGCTCCGCGTAGCTTATGTCTTCTGATAACTTCTAATTGTTGGTGAAATGATGGGGTTGCGTGACATTGTTCCTGAGAGACGTGTAAAGGGCGTGTTTTAGTGAAGCACAGCGGAGCTTCTGGCCCGACGGTGGAAACGCAGCGTGATTTTGGCCTCGGTGCTACAGGTCCGAGGCTATTAGCCCCGCCCGGCCTGCTTAAAGCACTGGCTCACACTGGCCCGACAGTGGAAAAGTGGCTATGGTTAACTAAATATAAAAAAAAAATTTCATTAATTGAAATAAAGCTGAAATGAAATAAAATATTAAAACTAGTTGAAAATCAAAATGGAAGTTATAAATGTTGCCTTTGCAACTAACTGAAATAAAATAAGTTTAAGTAGTCAAATTACTAAAACTAAGATTAAAATGAGAACTGAAAATATAAAAAGAATAGCCAATTCATATTATTAATACTAATAAATACTACATCTGGCAACAATTGCTAACAAACAATAAATAATAAAATTTAATAATTAAAAATAATAAAAAAGCGACTTTACTTAGTGGATACAACATCCATTTCCCTTTTTATTTTGTGCCAATTTCCCTGAATTTAGAATTTTTGATCTCTTGAACACACTGGATGGAAGTGCTGCTTTAGGCACAAATTGTTTTTGCAATATTTCGATTTTCTGCAAGAAATAAATTCACAATTTTGGTATTCTATACCATATCTTAGATGAGAACAACTCTAATGGTAATGAACAATAATAAATGATTTTAGAGAAAATGCAACAACAACAAAAAAGAATACTATGCTGCCAAATTTCTTCCAACAACAACAAAACAACTGTTTGTGCTTTTTTTTTTTTTTTTGCAAGCAAACACTGTTAATGGAAGGATGCTTAAAGACATTACAGACAAGCAGAAGACACAACACACCCCACGAGATATGACAGAGTGCTACAGTCCCTGTCAACCAGCCCAACTTATTAAAAACACACTGCCGACCACCTGCCATGTGCAGGCTGAGCACGAGCCGTCTGATGGGCTGTGTTCATTTCTTTGGGCATGTGATCTACCTGCACGCCACCATTCAGACCTCAGCCAGCCGGTGGCAGCCAATGAGGTGATTAGAGGATGAGTGTGGGCTACAGACAGCATAGAAATCCACTGACCTCAGGATAAACCGAGTGACATTTTTAAAAGAGTGTTTTTATCAGCCGCTCATTGACTCCAACAGATTAGATAAACATGACCACACTGGAGAATACACTCACGGCTCCTCAATTACAGCAAAGCATGGAAACTCTGGACAGACTGAATATGGGAGAAAACGCATTCTGTGCAGAAATGATGTGAAGCATAACTAGAGCTTAGAAAGTGCTGTAAAGAGAAATCAGTAATCTATAAAACAACTAAGAAGGTGTCTAAGAACTGCTGTGTACTGCCAAAATATTTGCAGTTTTTATGAGAATTAATAGTGTATTTCATAAAAAAAGTCTAGTGGTGATACCATGGTACAATGGTGGTGTCAGATGTCAGTTCTATAACGTCCAATACCACGTTACTGAATTATTATTATATTACATGTTATTTAAATGGTAATCCAAATTACTACAACTGCTGTCCAAAAGTTTGAGATCATTACGATTTTTAATCTTTTTAAAAGAAGCCTCTTATGCTCACTAAGGCCACAATTAATTGATAAAAAAATATTATTATATTTTTTTTCTCCAGGATGCTTTGATGAATAGAAAGTTCAAAAGAACAGCTTTTTTTAAATTGAAATCTTTTGTAACATTTTAAACCGTCACTTGTCGTCAACTTAATGCAACACTGACGAATAAAAGTATTACATTTCCTAATATTAATTTAAAACAAAAATACTTTGACCAGTTGCGTAAACCATCTTGCGCAAATCTTATTTAAGTAGCATAATATTTATCATAATATCACAGAATGCCAGAGTAATTCCAAAGTAAATGTCCAAGAAAAATGGTACAGTATTAACATGGTAAATGTTTGAAAAACCATGCTTTTCTGGACATGTACTATAGTAATACTATGGTATTTTCATATAAATCATGATACTGAATGTGAATATATTCATAAAGCATGGAATTTAAATTGTACAACAAGGTACTTTAAAGCATACCATAGTATTTCCACAGTACATGTCCAAAAAAACCTGGTAATATCATGTTACTTTGTGTACATGCCATCATAATGCAACAACCCTCTACCACAACTCAAACATATTCAAACTTTATGTACATCATTAACAAAAAGACTAGGTATTACTATGATAAAATATACAAATACCATGTTTTTGGACATGTACTATAGTAATATCATGGTATTTTGATATATACCATAGTACCAAATGATTATATTTTTATGTAGTCAAAGAATACTATATTATTGCAATGATAAATGTCCAAAAACATGACATTACCACAGTACATGTCCAAAGATCACAGCAATACCATGTTACTTTATGGCAAATAAAACAATCATAATGCAACAGCACAGAATGATCCGAACTTTAAGCAGCTGGATATTCATTAATTGCACACTCGACTGAAATGAAAAGCTGCAAACAGTTGGTGAACTTTTGTCACTTTAGAGAAACGGCAACAGAAAGAAAGAATGGTGTGAAATAGAGGGTCTTAATTATTCGGCGGTCCTCGGTCCTGCGCCGACCCAATTTACACTTTTGAGAAACAGGCTGTTTAAACAAAAGCTATTAGGTTGTTAGAGCTGATACAAGAAAAGTAGGCTCATTAAAGGGTCGAGAAGAACATACAGACAATAAAAGGAAAATAAAGGATGCTGAGTTAGAGACAAACATGAAACGGACAGACGTTATTGGACTCCTACCTGTCTGGCTGAGCTGCGAGGCGCTGCGGCTCTTTCGGCTCAACCCCACGACCGCTGCCATCTTGGCGCCGATACTGGAGCGCCGTTTCTTGTCAACGGTTCCCACCAGGCTCACGGCCGTGTCCGACTGGCTGCCGTCGGTCTTCACCAGACTGCACATGTCTCCGCCGATGCTGGTGCTCTTGGTCATGTTGCCTCCGGCTGCGGTTTCCATTTGCCTGTTTTTCATTTTGGACGTAAATTCACTGTCAGTGACGGCCCGTAGAGGAGAGACAGAAAGAGAGGAGGAGAAGCGGTGGAAGGGAAGAGTAGAGGATGGATGGATGGATGGATGGAAGAGAGAAAGGAGAGAGTTAGGTAAGTGGAGGGTGAAGGGGAATGGAGATTCAGGTCAGAATAAGGTCAAAGCCAAGGTTAAAGGGTTTAGGCCTCCAATCAGCTCAGGCTGCTTCACAGGAAAGTTTTGGGATGGACCTGATGTACTAGCTGTTAAGTTTTAGTAGTCTAACAACAAGTAAACTGAGTAAAACAAAGAACAGGGTATATTCAACTACTAAAACAGCGTCAATCTACAATATTAAACAACCGTCGCTAGTTCTCTCAATAGTGCTCACGCTCATGAAGCAAACTTACTGTCATTTGAAATCAAACAAAGTGAAAAGAGGCTTGCAAGACCTTGGACCTTAAAAGCCAAAGTGAACACCAACAACACAAAATACTCACAAAATCTACTAGTTAATTACTACACATCTGCAGTGGTCCACATACTATTCATAAAACTTTTGCAGTATACTGAACACACTAAAAAAAGTATATTCTAATGAGTACTTTTATATTGTTTTTCAGTTAAAATGCCTAAAAATCTTTAGATATTGAGAAGCGACAATGCATACGACTTGTTTTTTAGAGATCGTATCTGCAGTGTAACTTCTAAAATAAGTACATGTTGTTTCAAGGATGTTTAGATATTTTTTTACAAATGAAAAAAGACTTAAAAACTCAATAAAGAATTGAAAAAAAATTTCTGTATGCATGTAATACCTGGATGACTGATTATGTTTGCCAAAATGTTTAGTATATAACAATGAGCTCTGTGTGGAAAGTAGTATCCAACAAAGCAAAGAAAGCCGCAATTTTTAAAAATCACCTTCTTTGCTCATATTTGATTGGATTACCAAAAGTTAAGACACTTTGTAAAAAAAAATAATAATAAAAATTAAAAATATATATTTTTAAAGATGATAACTAAATGGTACTAACTGAATTAAACATGCAATGTAATTAAATCATGTCACAATGTAGCATACTAAATTTTTTAAATCACGTTAAAATTAATAAAATACTATTATTAATAATAAAATATTATTAATATAAAAATAGCATGCACTATTTAGTGTATATACACAACACTAGAACATATGAAGACTGACAATAAAAAAAAATAACAATAAACATGAAAATAAACATACAATGGTTATTGGAGCTATCTTGCTACAAAAGAGTCTGCCGTTAGCATGATGCTAATGTAACAAAGCAATATTTATAGAATGATAAGCATGAAAAATACATAGCACAGAAAGGTATAGGAGAAAAAAGTATAATTTTCTGAAAATTTTAGCAATACATTTCCATGCTGATAAAATAAATTCTGCTTCCCCATCATCTTGAATGAACTTGAGCTTGTGGTAATGCATTATGGGATTGATGGGAGCACACCTATATTGCCTTAAAATGCTGTCTAGCAGCTCACTGTGATTCATTTAAGAGTCACAGCTAACACACATCCCACAAACTGTTCAAAAGCATAAAAACTTGCAGCAGTTCACCCATTTCATCCTAACTGAAATGAACATCTCACGCATGAAGCATTCAGTGAAATGACTGAGTTTGATCTGTTACGTTCACTTATTCAGCTCTATACCACACAGGCTGGTCTATTTTTCTTTCAGCATTACAAAAAAAAAAAGAGGACACGTGTAAAAAGATTAAATTAGCATCTCACGCGGCTGTGAGCGAACTGTGAAGCGAAGAGACAAATGACTTCCTGGAAAAAGGATCCTAATGAAATCTTAATGATTATAAATGTGTTTAAATGATACGCATTCAGCCATAGGTCTGCTCTTCTTCATCATCAATGCAATTAGAGCCACAGAAACATGCGACGGAAATCAATGAGCTCTGACAACATGTTCTTCAATTACTACAATTAGCCTTTTCAAAAGGCAGCTCTGTCCAAAAGCCCTGCTCAAATACAGCCGTGCCACATCAATCTGTCTGTAATCTGGTAATCTTAGATCCTGAAACATTTGGGACTGATATATTTCACGAGAAAGAGTGGAAAATACTGTTGTAGTATCAGTATAGATCACTACACGCTCTACAGCAGTGAACTCCTATTTATCCCCAGTCAATTAATGAATTCTGTCATTAATTACTCACCCTCATGTCGTTGCAAACCGGTAAGACCTTCATTCATCTTCAGAACACAAATTAAAGGGGTCATATGATGTTGCTAAAAATAACATTATTTTGTGTATTTGGTGTAATGAAATGTGTTCATGTGTTTTTTGAACCTTAAACCGCATATTGTAACACTACAAAGAGAAAGGAAAAATTTAAATCGCATCATATGACCCCTTTAAGACATTTTTGTTGAAATCTGAGAGCTTTCTGACCCTGCATAGACAGCAACGTCAGCAGCATCACACGCATACGTCATTTATACAGAAGTACAGACAGACACAAGAATGTGTCCTATGTAAACAGCACTGAAAAATACTCAAAAATTATGATTTGTTGCATTCAAAGGTTGATTTCAAAATGCATGTACATGTTACATTGTCAAACCTGCTACAAGGGGTGCAATAGCAAACTACAGCTCAAAATGGCATTTTGTAGAGTCAGTTTTCAGTTTAAGGTCTACTATTGTCCTTGTGGAGCAGTACGACTTGAGCAGAATCAAATGTGTAGAGTATGTTTCTGGCCCGATTGCAGCGATACGAGTCTCTGGGGAAAATCACAACCTAACACAACAATCAGAGAGTTAAATCACGGCTCTAAAGAGATACTATTCCATTGACTGATTGATTGGACGGGATGCTGCCAAATGCTATATTTATCATGCAAACAGCTCCCTCCAGCAGCGCCACACGTGAGATGTTGGCAGACTCTCATGTTTTCACGGAGAGAAGTGTCGCACCGCCGCAGGGCTTCAGATGGCCATTACCCTCCTCTCATCACTGTAATGAGAACGGTTCAAAGCGCTGTGACCGACACAAAACCCAGGTGGAGATTAACGCTGGACGCCAACTTACAAAATCCTTCATCTGCTGTGATGACAAGACACATCTGTCTCTCTGGATTATGTCTCACCACCTGATTGACAGAGGGAATTATCCGTGCAATAGTTTGCAAACAAATTCACAAAGACTATAAGAACATTATGTGGTTGTACTTAATGGTTTATATGGATAGACAAGGACTAATCTGTAGTTTGAAAACCTGGCCACAGGTCAAAAACACCAAAGTCTGAAGACAGTGTGTCTCCTAACAGTAACTTCTCAAAGGTGCACATCCATCCAGATATAAACAGTCAACAAGGCATTGCTCCAGACTGGTTTCAGAAGTTTTATTTTTATTAATCGTGTAGAGAGTTTCTAGAAGCAAACCATACTAAAATACACTGAAGGGCCTGAAGCCTTTTTGTTTATAAATGTCATGAAATGAAAATGGCATGAGAATATGTATGTCACTCCTCCAAACTGAGTTAAAGTAAAAAAAAAAA